ATGGGGACCGAATCAAGTATACCGAATTATCTCGAACAGTATCAGTTACACGAAGAAACATGTGAATCAAAAGTTACAGGGTATGAAATAGTACATGTGGCGGAGGGAGGTATTTAACCGTGACGTGACCTTGTAACATCCTGCAAAGGTCACGCCACAATTCTTAAATAGAACCCCATATTTTCTATTCCATATTTTTGAAGCCGGCATTCTGACGTTTCCAAACCGTAGGAATAAAATTTTTCTTGTAAGCCATTATCAAGATAACATCTCAAATTGTCAGTTCGTCAATAATGATGGCGGCGCACGAACAGTCCGACAACGAACTTGAGAACAGAAGGGCAAGGAGATGCTCGGTTGAGCAACCGTGACCCGTCAATTTCGACAGATTCTCCGTATACGTCAACCTTGAAATCCGCTGGAGCGAGTGAAACGCCTATAGACTCCTATAAGAACGCATGGGAGAGTAAAGGAAGGTAGCGAGTGCAATGACCGCATTCTCAGCTGTGAGTCCACGGTCCGATCGGTAAATGATGTCATTTACATTTTCAGACGTAAACCCATCGTGTAACAAGGACCGTGGATATTGCGTTCCTTTACTCTCCCATGACAGTTGCACTGTCCGTCGGTCATCATCACTATCGATGGACCGACAATTTTGGATATCATTATCTTGATAATGGGTTAGAAGACAAATTTTATATCTATGGTTTGAAAACGTCTGAATGTCGGCTTCGAAAATATGGAATAAAAAATATGGGGTTCTATTTAATAATTGTGGCGTGACCTTTGCAGGACGTTACAAGGTCACCTCACGGTTAAATACCTCCCTCCGTCACATGTACTATTTCATATCCTGTAACTTTTGATTCACACGTTTGTTCGTATAACTGATACTGTTCGAGATAATTCGGTATACTTGATTCGGTCCCCATATATTTTTTTTTTTAACTAAATCTATTTTTATCTCGAAAACTATTTTGACTTTTAAACCCATGTTCACTGAAGTTTTTTGTATAGAGTTTAGTAAGTTGTACACACCCTATCATTTGTGCGCAACAATTTAGTTGCACCCCGTATATCGGTACTTTGATAGAAACTAAGAACTCCATTCGACGAGTGTAGAAGTAAAGCAAGAGTAATAGGAAAAATGATAATACCGACGATGTTAACAAGTGCGAAAGTAGTTTTCAAGTATAAAGACAATATACGGTGATATCCATTGAGCTGAGACTTGGTCGAGTGTAGATATACTAGGCAGATTTTTAAAGTCGATTTTTTCGAAGACGATGTCACAAATAAAACATTTTTATTCTATATTTTCAATTCTATTTTTTCACATAGAATCAATCCCTATCTAGTTATACCACCAATTACATGACACCCTGTACATAATTCAATATTTATTGCGACGAATACATTTCTACAAACACGATGGTCTTCATTTGTATACAAAATATAATAAAGCAACAATTTACAATAAAATATAATAAAATAACCGTTATTCGTTACGTGAATAGCGAAATGTCCAAATACCTGTAGCCAATTCACCGACGGAGTCAAAGTGCAACGGTGATCCACGATTGAAATTGATCGCTGGTATCCTCAATGTAGGCACGTTGTAATGAGAAAACAGGTTTAAGAAAAACGTTTAATTTAATTTGTAAATCAGCTGACTAATTGACGTTCCTTCTGACGTTTCACAGGAAATTTTGTTCGTCCATATTTCGAGATATCGCAGTACGTCAAACTCACAGCAAAACACAAGCGAGTCTGTTCCAACGAGAATCTTTGTCGATGACTTATCTTGAGTGGCCGCATACGTATGTTCCGGCCGGTTAGGTTAAGTTCGATTCGCATCGCTCGAAATAATTTACAAAACAGCGATAATCATTCCATAAATGCAGTTATTTTATCGTTTTCCCTGGTTTAATTGCATGATTACACTTTCTGTTTAATATTAATAATTTTTTTGTGGAATATATCACGAAGATATCCCGAACTACTTCGCCGTGGCGGACTTGATCCAGCCGCAACTCTCCGCGCTTGCGCAATTTTGCGTTCGTGCTCGTGTGAATTCAGAATACTTTTATTAGTTACGTTCGCCTTCTCGGAACCGATGAGTAATCGATGCCCACGATGCCTAACGTAACTGCGTTTATATTTATACTGTGTTTTTGCTTTTTCATGTAAACTCTATGTTTTAAACTGTCCAACTTTATAATTTAATTATCATCGAAAAATATGCGGCAATCTATAAGTAATTCACTATTTTGTTATAACGATCTCAATTTCGAAATATTTTTCAAAATGGCCGACGTTGGTCGCCTACTCTACGTAAACGAATATTGTATACATTAGCAACGTTTTATTTTATTGTATTTGAAAACTAAATTTAGCAAAATATAGTATAATCGAGAATTGTTTGAGTACTCTCATTTCTACGACACACATTTGAGTATTTTCTTTGTAAATTAAAATATTAATGTTAATAAAACTAAAATATTAATAATATAGAATATTACCTCATGTAGTTGAGGATTGTAATATCTGAATACGAACGAAGTTGCTCGCTGTATTGCAAAGTAGGATATTGATTATTCGTTTAATTAATGCGCTCGGGACACATACAATGATGACTCGTTGAAAGATCCAGTTACACGATAATTTTTCTTTGTAAGATCAATAGCTTTTACCCGCGTTGAAAATATTACTGATAACGATGTGTTCTTGGAGCTTTCATAATACCTTGTACACTGAAAAATTTTTTTAGTACTAAATAGGTTACTAAATCTTTCCTACCGTGGTTAATAATACTTTTATCGTTGTTGCTTTGTTCATATCAGTTTTGACCTGAACGGAAGAATTGAACAATCTATATTGGCATGTTTTGCTTCTGATTATGGTATTATCTTAAAAATTTGTATTTTATACATACACAGTAGAGAAGAAAAGTACTTTGACCACATTTCACGAATATATATCTCATAAATTCTTTTACAGATAAAATGAAATCTCGCGGGAAAATAACTAGAAAAATATAATATAAAATATTAGTAAATAATTTGTTTAAATATTTAGTGGAAAGGATTGTGGCTACAAAGAAATAAACCATTACATAAAATCGAATGAAATACGTTCCTAAATTTTTATATTATAAAAACAGAAGACACGTATTGAATCAATTATAATTGTTCTAGAAAATATCAGAACAGCTAAAATCGCTTACAGCAGTATACAAGTGACTTAGAAGTTCAGATGAAACTTGAAAACCATTTATCATTAGGGACAATGCATTATTAAACCAACAAACCAAGGATATAAATACATAAATATTCTTTAAATTTAAAACTTATATTAGTTTCCACGATTTGAAACTTATACTTCTTGAAAACGAAAAATGAGCTTCGGTATGCCTAGACAACATGGATTCATAGAAATAGCATTGCTGCCTTGTAAAATTCTTTTGCAAAATATATTAATCGCTTGATTGGAACAGACAACAGTATTAGAAATACACGCGTGTATAGATAACAATTTTGGTAACAAAACAATTATCACAGTTTGTTCTTCATCATTATCCAATCGAACGTATGTTCTTCGCGTTTCGTGGTTTCCATGCGTAACTTCTCACCGATGTTCATGTAATTATACACGTCTCCTTTTTGGAGCGGTTTCCAAAGCGCAGGGATTTGGTTCGTGGTCATTGGAGTTGGATTTCTAAAACAAGAAACATATTTTTTCATTATGCTGGATATATCGAGAACTCTCGGATATTTAATACTTGATATAAATTTTATTTAACACATTCGCGACTGCTGACGTAAATTCACATTTTCTTAAATTCACATCTTTGGAAATACTTTTCTTTAACAAAAAGTTCTTAATGTCAAACAACAGATCGTTACAAGACTAATACTGCAAACCAAATTTTCTAACTTTTGTCCCTGTTTTAACGTCAGAAATTTGCGACAATTAGTTTAAGATTTCCATTATTTTCATCGGTAATGAGTATTAAAAAATTAGGAAATTTACAGATTACGAATGTGTTAGTATAAATGGATAAATTTTAAGAGCTTATGATGCTCATTAAAATTTGTTCAAATCGCATACCCAGTCTTCGCGAAGTCGGTCCACATCTGAGTGAGGTACTCTAAAACATTGTGATCTCTACTTTTGGGTTCCGGTGGATTGATTTGCATAAGCTTCAATAATTTCGAATAGAACATAAACATCAGTTCTTCTGCGTGCGACGCTCCTGTAATAATGCACGCCATTTAAAACTGAGTAAACAGTGCCAAGGTGAACCACGAACATTTTTCCTTCTAATTATAGTTTATTCAGTTTACATTGCTACTTTTTATTCATCAAATTCCCTTTCTACGTTCCGTGAAAAAGAATCCGTGCTCCCATTCACTTATAAAGAAACTGATCAGATTATTCATAAAATATTTTCGTATTCACGTCAAATATTCATGAAGGAATATAGACTCCTTCGTATCTTCAGTCTATTCTAGATACTTTTATTACGTACTATTCTATTCATAGGAAACGTGTTTCAGTTTCTTCCTCGAATAAAAGAAGCACTATTCTATTCTTTTTAACTTGCGTGTCATATGCTCATATGATTCGATTATTATTTGTATTATAATTATAATTTCTGACCTGTAAATACTTCGCAGTCGAAAAGTTTTTGAAAGAAAGGATTTGCTTTGGAAAATTTTTACTTGTAACGAATGAACTTGTAACTTGTGCAATTTACTCGAGAATGGAAAATTGATTGATAAGCAATCATGTGTTATATTTGATTCTACCTGATACTTCAATATTGAACTTCTGTTTCATAAACGAAATCTCGGGTTCAAAGGTGAACTTATAAAAATATGTGGGGGTGCTCTTCTCCATTTGAATTCTGAGCACATCGTAAATTCCTTGAGTGAACATCATATCGCTCATGTAATCAGCGTAGTTCTGTTGGGTCTCTTTGGTAATCGGTTTGTCGCCGAAGTAGATGTTCCGTAAATCCGCGCTGGAAATATCGTCCTTTTTCATCGCGGCCTCCGTCTCCGGATGCACGATATCATCAAAGTTGGCGTTGACTTTTTGCAGTACTTTCTCAATATCTGAATATAAAACGCCTAAGAATGCAGTAAAATATCGTAATGAATAATAATGGTAACAATTCGTTTACTTTAGCATGCGGGTGATATCAATTGTCTAAAAGGAATTAATATCCTACACGACATTGCCAAGAGAGTTTCGTGATATCCTTATCGAACTACGAAGAATTAAAAATACTTGTAACGTACAATGATTAAAAATCAATTTCACTGAGACCTTAATGATTATTTCATATTATATAAAAATAAATACAAGGAAACTAATAATCTTGGTATTAAATTCAGTGTTAATTATTTTAAGTGTAACAAGACTCGAGCAAAGTTCCAGCTTTATCGTTTTAATTCAAAGTTCAAGCTTAGTTTCCATCGTTTTCGATTTTATAACATTTCTTTCTGGCTTAAAAATGTCCGGCAAAAATTGGCAAAAAATGCAAACTTACTGCTTAAGAAGAGGCTTCCTTCATTGCTATTGTGGCCTATCAATAAGGGCACTTTCACTCCCGCTTTCATTATGATTGCTGGATGCTGCGGCATAAACGGGGTAGGAGACTTTCTGTCGACATTTGGCTTGAATAATCCGGAGAATAGAAAATTTTTCTGTGAAAAATAGCATACAAATTATTCATTTTTAATATACTACAAAATACGCAATCATTTTCATGTGTAGTTAATTATTCTCAGTCAACAACAGCCATGGCGCTCACTACTTCGACTTTAAATTGTTCAATTTGACAAATATCGTACACTCTTACTGCAATTCGTTTCGTGGAGTACCGACGCAAATTATTCTGATTGAAATGATTACTCATTACGAGGAGAAGGTAGATAAATGAGCCCAAGGCCACCCGATAACGTATTAATAGTGCAATAGATGATCTTATCGTAACGAGTGTTTGCGGTTGAATCATATTACAGTGAAGTTGTAACAGTTTGACAAAAGTTTTCGCTAAGTTATTGTTGTTAGACTATTCAAAAGTGATGCCTGAAATAGAAAAGTACAAAGAATATTGGAATGCATTTAATTGAATTATTTAATAATAAAATTATTACTGGAAGCTTATAACGGTGTACATATTGTAACAGACATAAAAGACAATTTTTCTGTTTCATTTGTTGCTCGTGGATTCGTTTCGAACGAATGGATGCTCATAGTAATGATTCCCGCAGTCGGTGAAAAGCACAATGTCGCTTCAGAATCAAGATGAAAGCAAACAATTGAAGAGAGGGACCTTAACTTCTCATTTAACGGAGATAGAACAGGAAAGCTTCTAAATCCAGAGTTCGCTCCATGAATGGAACGAGTTTTACTTGTCACTGTTGCTCAACCTTTATGGAGTTTGCCTCTTATGTAAGAGGGCCGCGCTGAATGGCGGCGAGTTTCTGCGCGTGTATCCTTGCTAAGAAACTCGATTCATAGGTACCTACGTGTTCATTCTTTTCGAATGGCGCTCTTTTCTAGTATCGAGAATCTACCCTTCGCCAACCAACACCTGGTGTTACATAATTGTGTAATCAAAAGTGTAGAAAGAAATGAGTTCACTTGTTTCTCCAGATTAACGTCTAGATTTACGGACATTTAGGGTTCAGGGTGGAAAGAATTGATTGTATTTGATGATACAAATAGTCTCAATAAAATATCAAATCATAAGTCAAAAATGGATAGTTTTCTTGTAAATCGCTGCTGAATTTTGCGTGAGAGAGTAAAGGAATGTGATAGCGACATAATAAAAAATGTGAACCCTTTTTTCAAGATTAGAGGCAATTTTGCGACAGTTTCTTTGCCTCAATCTCTATCAAACCGAAGATTTAGAATCACGCTACAACAAGGAAATACAATTATTTATTTCCATCCTGTACAGTAAATGTCCGTTAATCTGCAGAAGATAGTAAACTCATTCGTTCTTATATCTCTGATTACACGATTATTTTTTTCTTTTCGCTTAACGTTATCCTTATCTTCCACTGATTTATATATGAGATACTTACATCATCATTTCATTTCGCCATACCATCTAATTTCTCATGCGACAGTAAGACATTTTTATATACACATTCTGTTCCTTTTAATTTATCATTCTCTATTACGACTTATTAGTTTTTATTTATTTGTTCTTATTTATTTTATACGAATTGGCGTGTCAACGGAGGAGAGAAAATTTGTCTGAAAATTATTTAACGGATGCATTGGTAAGAATTTATACTTAACCTCTTTGTTCATAGAACTGTAGTGCATAGTGACGAGCGTTTTCGCGTCGATCGTCCTGAGGAACTCGACCAGGGCCACAGGGTCTTTCGTCTCCAGGCCGCGATCAGCGGCTAACTGGAAAGCGAATTCCTTTGTGTCCCTGGTGTTGATGGCCCAAGGATTCACTGACACTCCACTCTGCGCTATTGCCTTGTGGAACAGTCCTGCAAATCGGAACGTGTGAATAAACCTTACAGTCTTCCTTACAGTACGACCTCGATTAACCGAGTTACTATTTCTTACGATCTAGATCGTTCAAAGTTAGGGCTATCCACAATCCCAATAATTTCGATCTTTGGATTAACATTAAGTCACCTTGTAACGTCGTTTCTTATCTTACTTTATAAAGCATTTTGTAATGCCATTTCTAAAATAACTAAATTATTAATATTAACCCTCTACAGGTAGAATTCTCTTTTGTGACTATAAAAAGATATATCTAGTATAAAATTAAGAAATATCAAACTGCAAATACAAATTAACAATGTATTCAATAGTTTTAATAATTGTATTAAAACGAATATACCTTGTAATTTCGAAATTCCAATAACGTTTGAACTTTCACACCAAAGCATATAAAAGTTTATGTTAATTAATTACTTAATTTAATTCACCACTTTGCTATGCAACATGAAATAAATCAATAAGATGCCAATATATTGGTATGTAAGTTCAAAGTCACAGGAGCCTATAGAGGGTTAACATATATTTGGCGTATAGTATATTCTGTTGCCACTTTGGCTATATCAAAATATCACGCATACATGACATTTATGTAAAATGCTTTGTTTGGTTTATTTACTATGTTTTAAATGTGTATAAACTATGTGAATAACATATTATGTGAAACAATTGCAAGACAGGCACGGTCCATCATAAGGATGTTTCAAATTTGATCGTAATCGCGAACGTGTTAATCGAAAACTTGGAAAAGGTCATACCCAATGGTAGTCAATACGTATATGATTAAAAAAAAAAGTAACTATTAATTCTTTACACTAGAAATTAGCATGAGAAAACAACACTACTTGTGATACGAACACTTCAGGATATGCACGATCGAATTTTGCAAACGTGTTTTAAAAAATTTCCTCCTCATTTCTCATTTATCTGGGCCAATGTTGTTAGTCGCCCAATTAAATCGGATTATCGAGGTTCTACTATATTTTGTGCCAGACCAAACAAAAATTCGGGAAATCGCGCGGAAAGATAAGGGCGCGACGAGCTTCTAGTTGAACAAAGTGGAGCAGAAGTAAGCAGAACGATATTCGGCTTAGCAAGGCGTAGAATAACGAAAGTTAAACGCTTCTAAATGGGATCTGATTTTCAGACGTAATTCTCGTGGCAGTGTAATACTATGACTACCTGTTTCCACTCGTCCGTACAAGATATTCACGAATTTATTTAATACATTCTTCAAGTAAAACTAAGGAGAAGGTGATACGTAAATTTTTGTTCCACAATCGAAATTGTTTGCTATTACTATTTGTGCGAAGCTTGCTGTTCAACTAAAAAATGGAACGAAGTTTATTAAGATATCGTTGGACATTTAAAAGAAAATAATTTCACTGTGTATATAAGCCGTTTATTTTGTAAGTACCTTAAGACCATTTTTCAGAAAGATCAAGTTAATCCTTATAATAGTTACAATTCCACATAATCTTTTTATTCTTTAATGGTTTCTTAAATCTTTTTTAAGTAAACCCAAGCAACTTTCAAAATAAACGATTTATGTGTCATGTAGTAATGAAGAAATCGTCGAATTTTTCTATGAAGATAAAATAAACGTTGGGAGGCATGTGTTAGTTGAAATTTTCAATTGTTCTGTAACATTGGATGTCATACCTTGAGCCAGTGGAGATATGCATAAATAATGCACAGAAGCGCCACCAGCGCTTTCTCCGAATATCGTAACGTTGTTGGGATCCCCGCCGAAGCTCGAGATATTTTCCTGAACCCATTTCAGCGCCAGTACTTGATCCTTCAAGCCTTGATTGCCAGGTGCTACTTCGTCGTCTAGGTCCAGAAATCCTGAAACAATCGACAAGTACCTTATAACACTAAAAGAAACTGAGACATCGTTCGTAGATGATTTATCGAACTACTGACAATGGGCTCCGGATTTCATGCGTACATAATACCCTCCGACAAAAATATAATGGCTTCAGACGACGAAGATTGATCGAAATATAATGAAGTAGATTTGGAATCCATATAACACAGATTGATTCGAAGATAATGGACTGAAAGCTTGGGCAATCTTGCATTTTCTTTCCTATTTGATAAATGTATGGCGGTATTTGCTTTCGCAAATTTAATAATTTAATCAGTTAGTTGTTTTCGGCGAGTATACTTTTCATGAAGAAACGACAAGGTTTTATATTATGACGAGCATACTCGTCCAAAGACAGCTAACTAGTTAAGGGAATATTCATTTTTTAAACAACCAGTTTTATAGGTATACATTACAGGAATGAAAATTTTTGGAAAAAATTATTATATAAATATGGTAGTATGGTACTAACTGGTTAACAATACCTTAGTAGAAAATGAAATTTTCAATTAATCTTTTCACCAGGTGTCTAATTCGATATTATAATTATGAAACTATAAAAGGACACCTGACGTCACCATGGAAAAGAACTTGCGAAATGATGAAATTGTAGTGAAAATTTCAAATGGAAATTTCGAAGTAAAGCAAACCGAGTTTCAACCACTCACCGAAGATCCCCAGCCTGTAATTAATCGTGACCAGGACAATGTCCTTGCGGATGAGATAATCGGGCCCATAAAAAGTGTTGTCGCCGGACCCATTGACGAATCCTCCTCCGTGGATCCATACCATCACCGCACGCTTCGAGGTTACTTCGGTCGTCGGCGTGTAAACGTTCAGATAAAGGCAGTCGTCGTCACCGATGAATTCACGTGTAAATATATCCATTTGGCTACACCAGTTGCCGTATTCTGTGGCGTCTTTTATTCCGGTCCATGGTTCCGCTGGCTCGGGATCCTAAAACGAAACCAGGCAAAAATTGTGGTTTCGCTGGTTTATCCTTTTTCATCATAAATTGTTATGGATAATCATTTTTGTAACAGTTATTGTTCATAATAATCTTTTATGATAATAATTATTCGTAATAATTTTTACAACAATTGTTATTCATAATAATTTTTGTAACAGTTATTGTTCATGATCATTTTCTGTAACAATTATTATTTATAATTTTTTAGAACAATGTAATCATTTATATGTTATGTTAATTTCATTTATTTAACTTCGTTCCTTTAGTCTTCCTCAATTTGTCCACGTTTTTATTTTTTCAATAATATTATGCTTGTATAACGATAACAGACAGAGAATAGTAGCAATTGTTGCTGTAACTCTTTCCATATACGTAGACTGCAGCTAACTTGCAATGGTAATGATTTCCACATCAAGCCATTAGAGCGAGGAAGGTCATACGTTGCAGTGTTAGTTGTTTCTGTTAACCATATCAACAGTTCAAAGTTGATTAACAAATTAATACTATTAATGTTTGTTGAGTTTAGCCATTGTTTTATGCTACAATGTACTGCAGCGATAAAAAAAATAATATTCAAAATACCAGTACATCGTGACATATACACTTCCAACGTGACAACGTATAACGAATTAAAATGAAAATGATGTGCAAAGATTCTTTAAGTGACTCGTTATACTCATTATTGATTCCATTCTAAGTTTTTAACTGTATTTACGCTCCTGTTTACTACTTATATGGTATACTATACAGATTATATAATGCGTTTGGAATATTTGCAGAATGTTCTTCATTATTTGCAACAGCTGCAACTCTTATTAATGACATTTGATAGTTAAATCTAATTCCGCCATCTTCTAAACTAACAGCAATGTTTTGACGTGTATGCGATGTTTCTCTCACGTACGCTTGAACAACGAGTACTTACGGATTCCAAACAGGATCACTGATATACGTGCAACCTTTTTGCAACCACTTCATTTTCATGTAATCTAATAAACGTGTCACAACTCTAACGACGTGTTCGTTTTAACGATGTCATTAACTGGTGTTAAAAAATCGCGACCGAGTTGTGACGGAATCTACAACTGAGCTATTCACTGGCCAAACCGATTAACTCCAATTTTGGAAGTTTTTAAGATTTTATCATTAAGTCGCTTCATTGGCTCTTAATATTTTATATTTAATATAAATTTCATTATGACTGAGTTTGGTAACACAAAATGATAGAAAGTCTTTTAGTTATGGAAAAATTGTAAGAATAATAAAAGTTACTTCAAGAATATATTATTTTATGTATTTTACACATTTGTTAGATTGAAGCTGTAGCTGCGTTAATCAAGTAAAATACATTCTATAATAATTATTTGATTTTGCATTCAAAGGGAAATTTTAAAAATCGATATGTAACTATTGTATCACTTCTTTCTACTTTTTGTTTCGTGGAGTTAATCGGTACGTCCAATGAGTGGCTCAATTATTGGATCAAACAATTGGATAACTTTTAATTTGTTTCATAAACTTTATGGATTTTTTAATAAAAGCGAATTACACTGGAAATCAATTTTTCCTGTTACACACTATTACGTTTGCATGTTACTCCAAAGGTAGGTAATTTTCCACAAACGAGCATGATTCAATTACAAGTAGTATATTTGTGTCGAGGTTGTGCAAAACGAATCATTATCAGAATGCTCATTTTGGACCTGATTGTTTTATTCAAACAGCTGATTCTCTGTGTAGTTAACATCGTCGGTAGATTTTCTGATATCCGCGGCCATGATAGGATTCATTGAGTTTCAACGGTGTACATGACAAATTAACCGGGTATTAACATACTCTTTGAGTATAGGCATTTGAACGCAATGCGGAGTTTACGCAGCCAGCATTGTGCCAGGCATTTCCATTAAATTTCTGTTTAAGCTCACTGTCGCCACCAGAATTTATCAGTTCCATCAATTAATCGGCAACATGCCCATCCACGTCTGACTTTCAACAATAAAAATTATATAATTGACAGACCTGATAAACGTCAACACAACGAAACGAACTATTGAACGGATATCAATAAACATTTTCGTATTGTGTTTTTTTATTTCAATTATCGACGAAGTAGACATTTATAAATCTGCCTACAATATTAATATGCTTGCTTTTTAGCACGACGATTAACGCGATATAATGGGAACAGTGTCTTTCAAATTCTAAAGTGAAACATTTAAAAGTAGTTATGTTATAAAAGAAGCGATGAGTCTCACATCCGTGTTAGTTCGACGCCTCAATTGCCAGTAATTGCACACACGCGTAGGGTGCTAATAGCAATTCATAGATGGCAATTCAGTCTATCAGCAACGAATATTCCCAAGGGCAACAAATGTGGCAACAAACATGAAATTTTCGCAGTAAATTTGTAAAGTCCGTTTAGTAGAGCGGAACAAACAATTTCTAACTGATATCACGCATTTGTTCGTGATCTGACATTGAAGTCTGTTTGAAGATAACGCTAGCAATTTTATGAAATTGATAGAAAGTTGTATAACATTTTTTAGGAACAATTATTTTCTATCGTGCTGAAAAAACGCTATTTTTCTAATTATGTTCTTAAACATATGAATTTACATAAAGATCCCGAGTCAAATAGTTACAATACAATTGCAATACATAATACTTGAGAATTCAAGGAATGAAGATTGCAAAATTGATTTTTCTTGAGTATTCGGAAATTTATGTTTCGGTTTAATATAATACTTGAACATTTCGGGGAATTAATGTTTTTAAACAAGAAAAAGAATTTTTAAGAATGTTCAACGTATCCGAAAATGTTTGACAGAATTTCAGGTTAATATTTAAGAATGCATAACTTTTCTTATATGTTTCTTTAAATGGTTTATAATAAACGAAAAAATTTAAGGGAACTGGAAAAAATGTGATTTCATTACAATTTGATCGCATGATTTAGGAAGCGACAAAGAAAATAAAAACATTCTGATATTCTTTTCGAGCTTCCGGTATTTACAATTCGCGAGCGTATCTTCCTACATAACAGTTGCGTCGAATCAGTAATCTGCTGAATACCATTAACCATTGCACAGTGGTTAGATGCATCTGACATAAGTTATGATACCAAAGTCAATGCTATTATTGCTTGTTCAGCCACGTGTGACAATCAAACAACAACATTTTTTAACTCTGTTTCACTACCATTTCCGTTTTCATTATCAATTAATTCGATTCAATAGCTAGGAATTATTCTCCAGAATTTGATGTTTACGCGATTGCCAATTATATAATAATAACATTGAATACTTCACAAAATGTGTGTTATCGTTAGCGGCAGTCAACGGCAAGCGTCATTAACCGTTTAAGTGCTGAATACTCCCAGCCAAAACGTTCCATGTGGACGGAATACTCTTTTGTTCATCTGAAGGTCAATTAATTACGTCAATTCATGCAATTAATTAAGTTGTAAGTAAATTGTAATTGCAATTCCTCAGTCTCGTCGAATTGAATAATGCCAAGAAACATGTACATTAACCTGTTAACTGTGGAATTTAGTTTAAAAAATCTCTCGTTTTGCGTGCAATAAAGTAAAAAAGTTAAGTGTGTACTCGTCAAACGCAAGGCCAATAAACCTAGGTTATACTTTAATGAAAAACCAAAGCAAAACAAAGAAGAATTACATGTTTATCTGGAAAAATAAATAATTAGTATTATTTCAAGTTTTAAAATAACATGTATACTCGTCAAACGCAGTTGACTGGTTAAAATCGCAGACACTTACAATTATCACCACCGAATGCGTGTGATTAAAAAGATTGAAAAACGCATATATATGCGTCCATAGCACTCAACCAGTTAATGAATAGCGAAAATCGTTGAGTGAAACGAAAGTATTAGGTTGCCCCATAAGTTCATGCGTTTATATATCCCACGTTATGTTTCGTAATCATAAAGCGATACGAGGACTTGGTTGACTAAACCTTTATGCTACAATTTAGTCAGTAAAGTATTCACCTTGAACCTGAGCGGACCGATTGGCGGTTTCGCAAACGGTACACCGCGGAATGCGAGGAACTGTCCGCCATAAACGTTCTCCTGGACGGTGCCACGTAGTCGGCCCTGTTTCACAGTGACCACCGGATCCTCGCGCGCCATGTGATAGATAAACACCGTTTCTCGGAGCGAGCAACAATGCCAACTGACATGTAGCGTAGACTCACAGCAGCCTGGTGACCTACGTTCGCAAGTGTTCCGCAGAACCAAGCCAATGAACCACGTAGTGGGGAGATAGCGAAACGAAGATTTCAACGCTAACAGCCAGCGATGGGATCAAACTGCTCGCGAGTTCTGTTCAAGCAATTTCTACCGAAGCTATTAACCCTAGAACTATCGTATTAATCAAAATGATTAGTTTCGGTTTACTTATTTCGTGATTATTGATATCTTAAAAATATTAAATATCGAAAATGATTTTAAAAACCAATTGTTTCACTTGATTACTGTAATCAATATCTAGAGAAACTAGAGTCACTTGACCGTGCTATCTGAATTTAGTTGTAAACCATTTGTTACGTCAAAAATATTCCAAACGAAAGTTATTCGTCAATCGTAATTTTTACTGTTAGTGTCAAACAACTTCTACCTCGAACATGTTTTGAGAAAACAAATAAATGTTGGTGGTACGATTTAACGACTTATCTTGTATATCTGTTCTCAATGAAACAGTTATGGAGAAAGGGAATAGAGTCGTAACTATTTTCAACCCCTCTAGACACCTTTTAACATTTTTGCTTAAAATTATTTTCTAAATTTAATTGTTATTTTTCAATCGACTTGTCGACTCTTTCTGTAATGATTATAAAAGTAATTAAGTAGTGTGTATTAATTGTATTGTCATTATGGGAATGGCTGAGAAATTGATTGGGGAAAACGATTTACTCTTAGAAAACGATTTTGATTTAAAATTTCAAAAGTTACCTTTTAACGCATTGGTCAAAATAAATGGTTTTAAAGAATTGAGTCGATCGAAAGTGATCGACGTTATATTTATGGCTTTATATAACATCAAATTAATAACAAGTTTTGCAGAAACGGAAGACGGATAAGTTCTTTTTTAAATACTCATTCTGCATATTATTGAAGTATATTAGTTGTGATGACTTATCGTTTTAGGATTGTAATTTGAAGTGGTTAAAACGTGATGACAACATGTAATTTATTAATTTAATTTATTTTACAGTTTTCGTTGTCGTATTATTATATAAAATAAATTTAGCAGAATTTCAGAGTTCAATACCGAAACATGTTGGTCCAATCGCTACGATCTACCTCGTGGGCCACTGATTTTCCGTGACATAACTCCATTATTGTCAAATTAGATTGTAAAACCTCCGAACTTAATTACACGATAAACAAAACCATACTATCGGATATTTTATATAAATAACAAAGAGACTTTATTTTATTAGCTTTCTCAATATTAGTTTACTTATATATTCTTTCTTGTAAATTTTCTCTTAAATAAAATTAATCTGTACCAAATATAATGCACAGCAAATAACGTTATAAAACAAATTTGGTATCAACATTCACATCAGTTCGACATTGTCGATAATTTACGACCTTTGGTCGCAAGTCATGATTAGCAATCTCAATCGTTGATTGAAGTTTTTTACATAAACACTTTCGATTCTGAGATCATAAATTAAATAAAACAATTTTTTGGTCGTTAATTCACATAACGAACAAACTCAAGAAGTTATTTTCCAACTAGCTTCTTAGAAATATGACTAACAAATTTTTGTATGACTTGCAAATCGCTTTAACAATAACAATGTATGCTGCCATTATCTTATCGGTTGTTCAAGGTTTGATACAAAGAGACCAAAGAAATGATCAACAAATGTTACACATACAGGTGCCAGTACTCGTATGTACTTGGTAATAATAGGCTTAAGCCTATCGTACCGACGAATTTTTTTTGGTTAACGGTGTTTTCGATAAGAATTATGTAAGAGAAGCTGAGAGTGAGCATTTCTGTTTCGTAGAGAGGAAAACAAATTTATTGTAATCAGGCACCGCCATTCCGCCTCGTTTTTCAGTGAAATGTATAGCAACGAGCTTTCGTACACAAAGCGACGCCACGTAACTTTATCATCCGAAATGTTCCCTGTATTCGCATCTTGAAGATAAAGTGTGCTACTCGGAGACAATGTTCTCTTGAGAAACTACACCACGGACTTTACATATATGTAATATGTTCAATAATAAGACGAGTAATAAAGCTAATAATGTCTAATAATAATTAATAATACCAGTGATACGTAACAGTGATAAGAAGGAAAATAACATTATTAATAATACAATAATAAGAATAATAACAGTAACAGCAATAATAATAATAACGAAACGTTCTTTTATAGACAATAATAATCATACAACACATTCGATTGAAATTTGTCCTCGAAAATTGTTTACGAATCTTATTTCAACATTTACTCAGCCAGATATGAAAACAGAGATTATCGCACGTCCTCTTAACAGAATTGTACATTTTTTTCATATCCAATCGTTGACCGGTTTCTGTTTCAAAATAAAAATTCGCTAGAAACTTCGAAACACGGATTGATTTATCATGGGATCATCCTAACCGGATTATTTAAATTCCTGGCCGTTTGTTTGAAGCTAGTTTCCTTGACGTAAAAATATTTCCCGAATCCACGCGCGAACCCAGCTTTCCAGAAAATTAGTTTGCTGTTAAAATATTGCAAGTTCACTGAAATGAATTATAAGCCCTTAAAAAATGGATTACAATTATTCCTTATCTTAAGTGTTGTTTTCTTATCTGATATAGGTACAGTGCGTTACTGACATGATACCAGCCGGCCTATGGCTTAAAAGTGAAGAGAGGTAAGGGGAGACGTTCACTCGCGGTGCTCGGCCCGATAGTAATGGCGGAACTCTTCACTTTTGAGATACTGGTCAGCTGGCATGTCAGTAACGCAACTATACTAAATGTGTTTCTACTATGTAGAAAGGACATAAAATGCAATATAGAGAATGACCATAATTAAATAGTACATTCGTTCGAATTATCACGAAATTGCCATTTCTCTTGTTATTACATTTTAGTCGCATTTCATTTCACAGTGTTTTATACACTATTTATTATTAATATTAATCGTTTGCAGTCGGAAGGCGACTTACAGTCACCATTTGGATTGATGTAGTGGAATTACAAAGTGCGATATTTGATAGCAACATTCGTATAATGTAATTATAAATGGAATGATGAAATAGAATAATTCTATCTCTTTGTTTGTACCCTATATACATTTGTGTTAGTTGTAAAAAGTATCATTATACCATCAAATAATAAAAGATACAGTAGGCAATAACAATGTATCGGAATGCGATTATAATATAAGACTCAAATTTGAAACGCAAGACATTCCACGACAGGTCCATGTTTGAAAATCAACGTAATATGCTCTTGCTATTAGCTCTAATACCCAAGTAATTCTAAGCTCCTCTCCATCCTAAGCACAAAACGGTGAGCTACATATTGGCCAAGTTTCCTCATAAGATGCGTACGCTAACTTTAATACAACAATCATGTCGATTTGTATATAGACAAATAGGCGAGAATCCTCCATTATAAACGAACACAAGTTTATGTTCAACGCACCTGCTCTAACTATACGACAGTTCCTAGAATATTTCTCGAGAAAGAAATAAATGAAATAACAACATTTCACTTCCATTATAAACCGTTCATTATTATTTATTCTATTACATTCTCATGACAAAAGTCAGCTTTTCTCTTAATCGTCCGCGAAACGGACTAACGAGCGTCAGGAAACAGTATTAAACTATTTAAGCAAAATTGAAATGGAAAGGAGAAAACACTTTTCACGTTCCGCGGCGTGATATATAATAAAGAATTTACCACCAGTAAATCCTGATATTTTTTGCCTTTAAGATGAAAGCTCCGGGCAGGGGAAAATGTAAAAACTGTTCCCTTTTCTCCAGTCAGGGTCGGATCATATACATTGTCAAGGATTAAACTGATTTTATCCTGAGCCTCCACCTCGCGAACGAGCCGTGCACGAGGAATGTTCCTTTACGGGGGAAACGCGCGACAAAAATCCGTTGGAAAACGGGAAGACAGTATCCGGTGAATCGATAACTCGCAAAAGACGAGGCAGATAAAGGTATCCGTTTCCGTTCCCGTTCCCGTTCCCATTCGCCGATCGAGTATCCAGTTTTCCTCTCTATTTTCGTTACCAATTTTTCCGAGGCTACACGACGTCGAGAGCTTGATTCCTATCTAATGCTATCTTCCTATCTCTACAGGCCGTATTCTTTTTGTGACTATAAAAAAAATGTATATGGTATAAAATTAACAATTAAACTATTGAGCAGTTAACCCTTTGCAGTCCGCATTAACTTTTTACTTTTATCATTTCGTTATATACTTAAGAACTTTGTCTCAGTTTTAGTAAAGTTACAAAAAGGATAAAGTATAAAATAAGCTGAAAAACAACTGAAGATCTTTATTGATTGCTTTTAATATAAATTAATTAATTGACGGGCAGAAATAATTAAAATAATTCTAATTTTTAAATTTAAAAACTATGTCAATTCATTGTTGGTAGGAAATGCAACGCGAACTTTTTTCAGTAAATGCCTAATAGTAGTTTCCGAATATCTGGTTATCGCAAGAATAATCAATTTAACTCTCGAACGAGCATATTCTGGACAAACACGAACGGAGAATTGGTGAAAGCCCCGTCATTTTGTTTCAAAACAATTTCAAATATGCATACGAATGCACAGCCTCGACAATAAAATACCTTATTCATCGCTGTAAACGGTTATGGACATTATTTGAATGAAATTTTATTCGAATGACAATAACGAATAAATAATGGGTTATTTGTTATTCCAGTTATTCGTGTGGAGAACTTTACTCTTCACTTAATATTCATCATTTCTTGGTCGCACTTAAAAATTTGATTAATTACAAGACAATGCCATTCACGTCGTTTACATTGTTACACCGTTAGGCAGTAGGTATTTAAAACAATGAATAGATTCAATTTATTCATTATCCGTGAATGACAAGTGTATTAATTATTCGTTATTCACAAATAACAATCAGATTGATTGTGTCTGTTATTTTGTATAACTTTCGCCCAACATTAGCTATCAATTTTT